CCCGCCCTTTATCCTTTGTCCCCGCCCTTTATCCTTTGTCGTAGCTCTTATCCTTCATCTCCACCCTTATCCTTTGTCCCAGCTCTTGTCCTTCGTTCCCGCCCTTATCCTTTGTCCCTGCACTTTATCCTTCATCGTAGCTCTTATCCTTCATCCCCGCCCTTATCCTTCATCCCAGCTCTTATCCTTCGTCCCTGCCCTTTATCCTTCGTCCCCGCCCTTTATTCTTTGTCTGCCCTTATCCTTCATCCCACCTCATCCTCGGCTTATCCTTCACCCTGCCCCTTATCCTTCATCTCTTCCCTCAGCCTTCATCCCCATGTTTTATTTCGCCGACTGTTGTAGTGTCAAGATAAGAAGCATTTCATGCCCATTCTACTCTATCTTATCAAGAAAACAAACATAATGAGAAATGAAATACTTCTGAATGCGTCCGATGTTGGATCATCACAAGAATGCAGTGCAATGTTGTGATTTTTTGTCACACTTTCCTTGACCTCTTACTACCCCTCCTCTGCTGCGTGGAGCTTGCTTCTTCGTCCCCTTTACAACCTGCTTGAGGCAATCCTTCACGTCAGTAATGGCCTCTTTCCAACGAGCGTCGGTCGTCCACCACTTCAAGCTTATCATAACCGTCACCAAACCGGAAGGACCACCCTTTCTCAACAACATCACATCGTCTCCGTCTTCCGCCTTGCTCAAAGGAAGAGGGAAATGGTCTTGCGCCTCAACTTGATGCCATTCGGGTTGCAGGCTATTCCACCACCCAATCCATTGACCACCGAAGGCAGCCTGGTCCTCCACAGCTGGCGGTGGATACTTGCGGCTTGACAACCACCGACTCAGCGCATCGGGGCGGTGTTTCGCAGCAAGACGGTGCTGGGCCCTTGGTAAGAATCAAAATTTATCCGCTACAAGCTCACACTTACCGAAGTAGACTCCAATAGAACTTGCTCTTCAAACCTGAACCAAGCTGCCACACACTTGAGCCATCCTGCATTGTCTGCCCCCTCCTTTAGGTACATGTGAGCTGTTGTCAGCCATTCAGGCGGCGATATGGGCGTATCCTTAGCAGTCAGCGGAACGACCTCCTTTGAAGTCGCAGGTTTCGAAGTGCGTGGTCCACAATTCTTGTTCTCGTTGTTCGCCTGTTTGGTTGCCTTAGGTCCCCCGCATTTTGGTTTCTCAGCAGGTGTTTCTGCAGACACTTGAGGAGCTGTTGCCAGTTCTTCGATGGATGTCGATACAGTCGGCAATGAGGATGGTGGGGTTATCGCTTTGGGGATTGGTTGGGGGAGGAGAAGCTGGCTGGTGTACACTGCTTCGGTGGGCATCTGTCCACCAAGTGAATTCATCTGTAAGTCTTGGTCCTCTCCAATGATCTGGCTCATCATTATTTCATTGGGCTCAGACAAACCGGCCAACAGATCAGGGGGGAAGAACTCTGGCATCAACGTAAACATTTCCTCGTCACCGTTAGTGCCATAAGGAATGTCGGGGAAGTTATAGCCGTCTCTGTTGGTCGCCTGATTCGCCGCGGAGGAATCCTGGAGCACAGGAATGTTCTGCGTTGCCGTTTGCATGTACGTTCCACCTGTTACCCCGCCCATGCCCCCAAATCCGACCCCCCCAACTACAGAATCTGTCGTGGTGTTGTGTTGCGTGTAGCCTGCAGCATTCCCATATGCCATAGCATGGCCGTATCCCCCACTGTTTCCATACCTGTTGCCGTTCCCATACCCTCCAGAGTATCCGCCATTTGCCCCATATCCGCTGTTGTTGCTGCATCCATTTCCGAACCCCCCTCCATGGGCATATCCTGTGCCACCAGACCCACCGCCAGCAAGGAATGCACCAGCTACATCCACAAATGCACCAGCCCCTCCCACCGATGCTGCGGCTACTCGCAGCGTACTGCCAGGCATCGTGGCAGGGGCGTGCACATGGAGGTTGCCCATCAGTATACCAGGATTTGTTGCGAGCGATGTGGTAGGGGCAGGGGCAACTCCCTCAAGGGAGGTTAGGCTTGACGCTGATGAGCCGGCTCTGCTTCTAACCCCGGAAATCACGCAAAACGGCTCTTTCAAACACTTCGTCATCGCGATCTGGCACCACACCTCCGACACCTTGTAGATGCGTCATAACAATCACCCAAGCGACTCAATAGGCCACAAATGATCACTCAGCAAGCACAGCTATCCCCGTGACCATCACCAGCTCTCTCCATGTGCACGAAGGCGCTCGGTGTGCCACTCTTTCCGCTTGAGGCAAGTCTTGCTACCTCCCCTGCCCCTTGCCTCGTCGTTTCATCTCTTATTCTCTTTTTCCTTCATTCATGTTTTATAAAATTTCTCTTTATCTTTATTCCTGAACCCGGTTCGGCAACGCACTCCCTGCCGGTCTCCCTTTTTCTTCATAGTATAAAAACCTCTGTATTTCGTGCTTTTATGCAATAACACACAGTTCCTCGTCTCATTTGCCCACTCGGGGCACTCGTATCTCATCCTCACCTCTCGTACTCGTCGTCTCTCGCCTCTCAGCCTCGTTTCGACTCGCCGCCTCAACCCGCAGTCACCTTGTCTTTCGAATTCGCCGTCATCGTCATCCCATTCCCACGCTTAGCGCCCTCGTTCGTAGTCCGTCTTCGAGTCGTACGAGCCCCCTGGTTAGAGCCGCACAGCCGTGGAACTCGTCCTCACACCTCAGAGCCGCTCGTTACGGTGTTTGGGTGTGTGTTTCTTCTTTTCCTTATCCACACGATCACCCCGCTGTAGGCACATCAACACAATGGCACCACACGCTCTGGGAGGAGGCATCTGGACCGCCATGGAGGCTGCGGTGGTCGTGTCTGGGGTGATGACCATGGGGGCTGCGGTGGGCATGACCGGCATTTTCATCTCTGGGATAGGGGCCGCGGCGGGCGTGACTGGGGTGGTTACAGGACAGGGTTTGGAGGATGGACTCGATGCGAGTGGGTTGGGCATGACAGGAGGAGGAGGTGCCTGCGCCATGCAGGAGGCCGCACTTGCTGTGACTGTCACGACTATCAGGGCGGCGGGTGCAGGAGTGACTGGAGCCTCCTGGTGCGTACTGGATGCCGAAGTCGGTGTGACAAGATCTTGTGTTGCTGAAGCCAGGCTCACGGTGTTTGGGTCTTCTGATGAAGTGGAGCGAAAGGTTTCACAAACACCAGCAGCTGTGTTGATTGCCTCAGATTAGACGTCGTTGAAGGGTGTTTCTCAACTTATGGTAAACTCCATGCAAAAACTTTGAGAACGGCGCTAATATATTGTCCTTGAACTTGGCATGGGACTGGCCAAAATGGCAACCATGAGCATTCATGCTGCTGTGGACCGCGATCGTCCATATGACCCCATCTCTCACTGCACAAGGTCTGCCAGCAAGAACCATAAATGACCAACGCGTGCGTTCAGTCAAAGTGTCAACAAAATCCTGAATCATGTCAGGAAGTGCCGCTTGTGCTCTTTCCCGGAATTAGTGTGTCGCTTCAGGCATATAATAAGCGCTGGTCACTCACAACATAAGGCCCGCTGGTGTTGTTTGCGTGGCCGGGTCAAGCACGGTCTTCATGGCGTCCGTCATTGTTTCTTTTGCCTTAATGCGGGCCTCTCTCTCAGCATGGACTTGCGTTTTGATTTCTTCTGTCTCCTTCTTGTAAACCTCGGCTGTGACTCTATTGATGATGGTGATATGCTTGTCCCCTTCGATGCCATCATCACCCTTGGTCTCGTCTTCTGGCTTCAGGCGTTGAAGTTCCAACTCCACTTGAGGCTTCACACGTGTTTCATAGTATAACTTGGAATAAATTTGGGATTCAGAAGGAATGCGTGACCCTGAAGGCTGTAAGGTGAGCTGGACATTCTTGCCGACTTTGCCAGTGCGCCGACCCTTGCTCAGCTGGTGGTTATTGAACCAATTATAGATTGTCTAAATTATGCATTCAGTTCTCAGTGGTCGTAAAAGGGACTCATCACTACGTACTTCTTTGCGCTTTGCCGTCCAGACTGCAAGGTCCAAGACAACTGGCAGCTCCATAGTAACACTGGCAGTCTTCTTTTTCTTTTTCTTCTTGTTCTTAGGGTTGGTGTTGACCTGTTGTTCAGCACTCTGTTGCTCCGCCTCAGGGGTCGGCCACTGGGCAAAGAAATCGTGTTCAATGTCAGACCAAAATCTGGGCAGTGTTTTGGTGTCTTGAGCCTTCATGAAGGCGTCGAGGCGGCTAGTAAGAAATGCCAATTGTGGGCCAGTCGCCCAACTGATTGCCGGCATCTATGAGGTCTCGGTGAATAAACTCTAGCTCAACGTCGTAAGCAGTGCGTGTACCTTGTTTGCGAATTTGGACTTTCCCTTTTGCGGACCACCCACTTCGGTGCAGTGTCCGAACCCTCGGGTGCTCCCGGTAAACTGTACAGTTGCAAACCTTATTCCACTGGTGCTGTGCTGACCTCTCGTCGTCGAAGTGCTGGTGCTTAGCAAGCTCTGTGGTCGCTGAACTGCATGCTGCCCCAAGAGACCCCAACAGACAGGTATGGGCTACATTCTTTGCATGATTCACGAGCACATGACAGGATTAGCAGCGCGATTTACAGAAACACGTCGTCCCAAATGAACATCCCACGACCTTCTCCCTGTGACCCAACGTCAGTTGTCCAGGGTCTGGATTGCCTTGCACATCTCTCGTATGACTTTTCGGGTTCCTCGAGGTGCCTCCCAACAGACCACCAGCTCGTTTAAAAGGTGACGAATTCCCTCCAATGCCTCAGAAGCATGCCAAGCTTTTGTCCTCTACGCACTCCTCCTCATGACCTCGCAAAAGCCCACCCTCAGCGCTGAGCTCACGCTGACGAAGCTCATTGAAGCTCTGGAGCTCCTCGGCGTGACTGTTGTTTCCCCCACAGAGCAGATGAACCGTGAGTTCTCTGCCTCATCTCTCTCCTCTCTGAAGTCGCCCACCGATTCTATCGCTGTCACAGGTGAGGGGGTTCAGTCCGCCGCCATCGCCTCCACCCCTGTTGGTCCTCCTGCCAGCGCCGGCACGCCTGCTGCTCCCAGCGCTCCTGGTGTGGATGTCGCTTGCATGATTGCCCAACTCCAGGCCCTCGGCATCAACATTGTCTCACCAAGCGGAGGTTAGTCTTTCTCTTTGCGAGCATACGGTGTCTGTTCTCTGATTACCCCCCCTCAGCCCCCGTCTCCAGCAGCAACACATACACTGCCCCCACCCCTACCGCTGCCACTGGGGCTGGCACTGGTATCCCAATGTTTAGCAGGAATATAAGTACGTGCTTGGTGCCATGCATTTAATGTCCTACTCAACACCTATTATCAGGGTCTCCTTGGGCCAATACCGCTCCTGCTGGCGCTGCAGCGGCTGGAGTCTCAGTTGCCACCGTGGTGCCTATGGTGGCTGTGCCTGCCATTGGTGACATGGTGGGCAAAGGAAAGGCGCCCGAGGCTGCTCCTGCGACTGGTTCGAGTGGGTGCACTCCTGTCAAGCCTGGTGACGAGGCCGCAGCAAACGGCTTTGTATGCACACATTGTAACACTTATAATATGCTCAAGTCTGCGACCCACAACTGGTATGCAATCACTGCCGGCAGGGAGGTCGGAGTTTATCAAGGGTGGTACGTCGTCCGATCACACCCTTACCTCTCACTCACTAACATGGCCGCAGGCATCGTGTTCAACCCCTCATCAGCGGTGTCCCCCACACGTCGTACCGCAAGTATGCCTCCCAGGCTGCTGCAACCGAGGCATTCAATGAGGCCATGGAAGCTGGCTTAGTCATTGTTATCAACTGATCCATGAAGTCGCTGCCACCTTGTCATGCTATATTTCTTTTTTGTATATCGCATTGTGCCTTTTGTCCTGCCGCTGTCGTATATACACTCATGATCGAAATACATTGTGCCCTGCCTTGTTCATGCTATTCTTAGTGTGCCCTAAGGTTTTTGATACATGAACCCCCCTTCAGCATGGAGCCTTTGAACCTCCTCTAATCCTACCATGGCGTAGCATAGCACCTCTTCAACCCACTTTACAGCCATACATATCAATTGAACCGTCTTGTCGACGGCACGGTGCTCTGGGCCTACCCCTGTGAGTGCCAAGACCTCGTTCTGACACCTATAAATAGCCTTCTGCAGCTTGCTGAGTCGAACTGCGTGTTCATGGATGTTGTCTTTGTCTTCATCAGCGAGGTAGTGCCCCACAGTTTCCTCAAGAAATGAAGTAGCTTCTGCACCGATAATCTTGTGAAGACGGTTCTTGATCCTATCGCTGTGTTCCATCCAACTTTGAAGAGGGGTGAGGGTGGATGTCTCTTGTGAAGTCTCTGGGCGAGCAGATGTCAAGCCATTTTTGGAGCCTTGGGCTGAACTAGCTGTGTATTAATAGGTGAACAATTGAAATAGGAGAATGACTGCACCCTGTCTGTGATTTCTGGTACCTCTTTCGCTGCTTCTTATTGATCGCATCCTTTTTCCTATAAAACATACAACCAATTAACATTGAGGCCGCCAAGACTGCGTTAAAGTTAAAATACTTTTCATAATGCCGCTTACTTTTGGCACGATTGGCAACCGCCTTCTCTTCCTGTGTGGTATACTTCTTGGTGCGACCCATGTTGTGTGGTGAGAGCAAGAGACAGAGAGCGACTGCAAGTGCTAATCGCACTTGCTTTGCATCGGATTTCCTGCATCGTCTGACCTTTATTTCTAGCTGAATAGTTGGGGGGCACGTCTATATTACTCAAATCTGTTTTTTTCGCTGACCACAGTGCTCTCTTCAAAATGGCTGTCAAAGGGATGGCCAAATTGTTATTTGATTTCTCGTCTTGTTCTCGTCGAAATATTTAACTTTGACGTGCAAAATTGGCGGCCTGAGAGGAGCCTAGTGGTATAATCTGCCTATTGAACTTGTCTTGCCCCTCCCCTCCCTGTTTGTTCGACCCCCGTTGCTTGACTAATGCCCCACAAGTTCGCAGCTGATCAACTTGCTCTTATTAAGGATCTCGGGCCATATGCCAAGCATGCCAAGAGCAACCACACTTACACCGAGTTCGAAGCGCGTGTGTTCAACCTGTGGTCCATATGCTGGCCGCTGAAGGCCAAAGACTTCGATGACCAAGACTTCTTGGAAGCCTACTGGACCATAGTCAAACGGGTATGTACTTGCGCTAGTGGCTGCATCTGGCCTTTAGCTGATATGCAGCAGCACATTCGCCATCAGTTACAGTGGGCTGCATTCTCCTCCACCCCAAAGAAGGAGTGGGAAATATATCTCTCCGTCTGCGAAGCTCGTTGTGGAATTGCAAAGGTATGTTCTCTTGATATATGGAACGAGCATTGATTGGAAATACTATTCACCCAGGATACCTCCCTCAATGGTGGTCCCAGCCGTCCACGCCCTCGCCCTCACCCAATCACTAAGAAAAGCACTGTCCAACAACCTTCCTTGCCCACCGAGGATAAACCGTGAATCAGCAGGCCGCGTACGACGTCACAATTCACCTTTTTTGCCCATATATACATGTATCACAAATGTTGCTGGGGTCTGAAGACATCACCCCATGCCTTCCAAACGACCCGGAAAGCGACGCGCTAACTACGATGAATTCATTGCCTCGCCGCCGCCAACCCCTACCTCTGGTCCTCCCCCGGAAACCCTCCAGGAGAGACACTCTGAGTACGCACCAAGGCAGCGGGTAGCACACAGCTTCCTCACCATCCCTTATGACTATGATCCGACCTCTGAAACTGTTAGCCCTGGACCGCTGGGTACCGCTGACAGTAGCGCCACACCGCCAGTGCCCAGCCTTAGCACTGATGATGATGGCGATGCAACCGCTTCAGCCGAGGACTCTACACGAGAACTCGAGGTCGTTGGGCTAGCGGCGGAAGTAAATGATGCCAGGAACCCCAAGAAACGTCAGCGGACCCAGGCTGTGAGTAATTCAGGTCAACGAGAGCTTGACACTTATTCCCGGTGATTCTCAGGACCATCCGCTGCTCCTCTGGGTGCCTCATATTGAGGAGTACGTCTCTGAGTTCCTGCGCCTCGAGGGCCACAGAGATTCCACAAATCAGACCGTCTGCGCCATGGAGAACTGCAGCGCTGACATCATGCTGTCCTGCCCTGGGTTCCGCTGCCTTGATTGTCAAGTGCGCAGCCTTCTGTGCGCAGAGTGTATTCGCACATCACACAAGCATTCGCCTTTCCATCGAATTCAGGTGGGTCTTCATGTTGTATCTAGTCGGAAAGACCATTGAATTGTTGAAGAAATGGACCGGAAAATACTTTGAAAAGACTTCGTTGAAGGAAATCAGATTTCGAGTGCAACTTGGACACTCAGTGGACGGGCTGTGCCTGCTTCCCGAACGTGCCATCGATGACAGCTTTGTCATTATTGATTCCGATGGCGTACACGAAGTGGGTCTGGATTTTTGTGGGTGCCAACAATCTATGCCAAAGACAATTCAACTCCTTCGTGCACAATTGTTTCCCTCAACAACCACGTACCCAAACACTGCCGCCACCTTCCGTGTCCTGGAGACATTCCAAATGCTAGGTTTCACTTCAAAGATTTCTGGATTTGAATTCTACCAAGCACTTGCCCAAAGAACTGACAGTACCGGCACGGCCACTCCTCCAGTGAGACACCTCATTGTGGATCCATTTCTATTAATAACTCCAGATGACAGGACCGTTATCAAGCTTTTATGCGGATGGCACGTGAATGGCGTCATGTCCGTCTAATGAAACGCTTCACCCAGGGACATGATCTGACAGGAGTTCAAGGCACCAAGGAAGGAGAGTGCGCTGTCGTTTGCCCTGCTTGCCCATTGCCAGGGGTGAATCTACCAGAGAACTGGGAACAACAACCAGCCAAAGAGCAGTAAGGTTGTTCCGCACCTTGATTGATACAAGCCCTGACCCGTTCACGTACAGGTGGCTCTATTCTTTGTTTGTTGGCATCGATGCCAACTTCCGACTGAAACGCATGAATGTTTCGAGCGACGAGCGGGACCCTGGCCTGAACCGCGGTTACACTTACATGGTTGAGAACACAAAGTATGAGGCCTACCTTCGGGAATACGGCGAAGCAATCCAGGAAGAGAAGAGCAACTGTCACAATCATGACGCCATCAAGTCTGCTAATATCCACGGAGGGAGAGGCACAGCAGCCAGCGGGTTGGGCACTGTTGAGTGTAGCCGGCACGACATGAAGCGACCAGTATCTGTCGGTGATTTGCAGAAGGGGGAACAGTGGGTGGCATCTGTTTACTTAATGTCCCACACTGACGCGAGGCTAGTTATGTTAACATGGACTACTTCTTCTTATCTGGCCTGCGAGGGAACACCCTCTCACGCATTATGGTCTCCTACGATATAGCGTGTCAATGGTCCAAGAAACTCCAAGAATGATGCAGTATTTACCCTGAGAACGTGATCTCTAGTCGCCCAGAACTGCAAATTGATTTTTTGGTACCGAAATTCCACCTTCCAGCCCACGTTGCCAGCTGTCAGATTGAGTACTCTTTTAATCTCATTCCTGGGAGTGGGAGAACCAATGGCAAAGCACCAGAACGAGGCTGGTCTGCCGTGAATTCCGTGGCTGCCAGCACCAGGGAAATGGGCCCAGGCTCTCGTCGGACACACTTGATGATATGTTTGGCGATTATAATTGGTGGAAGAAAATGGCATTTGGTATGAGATTGAGACGTGTTTATCTTTGTACCTGGCAGTCGTTCTAAATGTACTTGATTTGATAGCTGAATTCTTTCTGCGGAAGGCCGAGGAAGCAATACTGGCCCGACAAGAACATGTGGAGGCCTTCATCGAATTCGATGTTGCTCTCCCACATGAATCGGCCGCAAAGTGGATGACAATGTGCCTTGTTTGGGAGGCAGATAGAACAAAGCCAAATCCGTTCCAATCAAGCGCAAAAGGCGAGTAAAGCTGATAGTGTGTCTCTGGAAATCCTGAAACTCCTGCAGTGCTCTCTGATGCTGAGGTTTGTCTACAACTTGCGGAGGAGGACCAAGAAGACCTGTCAAAGAAGGAAAATGTCACGACGCACTTCAGTAGAATCACTCCAAGCTTTTTCATCTATCAGGGCCTCGAGATCGAAGCCCAGCAGTGTGTTCTGCATGATATGTTCCTATTTTGCCACTAATTAAAGTTGAAAATAGGTGACGTCTGGCTTTGGAAATAGCTGAACTGGGCATTCATTCAACTACACTGCAGCGCGCTAAAGTCCTCGAGTGGTCCAATGCCCTCCGAAGGCGCATTGATGCTTGGGTCCTTATTCAACATTTATACGTGCCAGCTATCGCTCTGGTTCGGGCGTGAATCAAAGAGCAAGGAGGCGGTAAACCTGTGGCCGTTCAGGACATTGACCTATTCCTACCCTCCCAGATACATGAGATGGTGACATATCCCCTCATTTTCTTGCGCTATGAGTGGCAACTTCGTTATGCTCGTGCACATGTGGCTCTTAACAACCTTTGCGGGCAACTTCTCATGAGATCTATGATGTACAAATCGAAAGAATGGCATTCGCGGGGCCAATGTCAGCAAACTCAGAGCATGAAGCTCATTGAGAACGTCAGCACTAAGATCGATAATACGGCAAATTGGTATCGGCTCATTTGTCGGGCATTGATTTCCCTTTCCGTACCTCTAGCCGAAGTAAATTGGGAAAAAGAATTGCGCGTTCTCAGGATTCTGATCTTCTGGGTCTCACATTGCCTGATGATGTGGGGCCGGAAGGCCGGAAGAAGCTCAAATGGATTTGGACTGTGCAGGGGGCTGGCGCGAACATGGATGCAAGTGGAGAAGACGGTGCGTGTCATAAGACCGCTGGCTTACCAGATAATGATCGCTCTTGCAGCTCTTCAAGTAGAGTGGTGTAAGGCGCGTGCCTGTGTGCATCATTGGCAAGAAGAATGTCTGCTCCTGCAAGAAGAAATGCGGCACGAAAGATCACGAGGCCAAGGTATTCACCAGTCAGCAAATGCTCGAGCCACTGATCCAGCTGGAATTCACATCGATGGAAATTGTGCGGGAGGGAAGGGTTGCATACACATATCGTCAAAACGCTGTCCACCAGAGAATGCTGGACTACTGCAGGGGTATGTGGACGGGGGTTTGCAAACGATTGGGGGTTATGGTGGGGTTCGATGCCCATGTTTTGGTTGAGCACAGTCTCGAACGAGGCCCAGCGGCGCAAGCAAACTGAAAATTTTATATGTAGTAGCAATGCATTTATTGATAACCCAAGGGCTCGCCAGGTGTACACCCCAGGCTTTGGGACTTTGGGATCGCCACTGTCATTGCCGAAGACGTCATCAATCTCAAAGCAAAAACAATGGGCCAGCACAAAGGCGCAATGGGCAAGGATAAGGGGAGGGGACGAAGGACAAGGGCGGGAACAAAGGATAAGGGCGGGAGCGAAGGATAAGAGCTGGGACAAAGGATAAGGGTAGGGGCAAAGGATAAGGCAGGGGCAAAGGATAAAGGGTGGGAACGAAGGATAAGAGCTGGGGCGAAGGATAAGAGTGGGGATGAAGGATAAAGGGCGGGGACAAAGGATAAGGGCAGGACAAGTAACGGGACGATGAATAAGCGGAGGCAAGAATAAGCAGAGGCAAATGATAAGTAGCACAGCAATGAATAAGAAAAGGGGTGATGAATAAATAGCAGGACGAGGGGCAATGAATAAGTGATGGACGATGAATCAGTAGTGAGGCGACGAATAAGAGAAGGGGCGATGAATTGATAAGACAATGGATAAATAGCAGGACCATGGATAAGTAGTGGGGGGATTAATAGGGCGAAGAATAATGGAGGGGATGATGGATAAGGAGGGGACAATGGATAAGGAGGGGACAATGGATAAGGAGGGGACAATGGATAAGGAAGGGACAATGGATAAGGAGGGGACAATGGATAAGGAGGCGGCAATGGATAAGGAGGGGGATGATGAATAGGAGAAGAAATGATGAATAAGTGGTGGGGCAATGAATAAGGGAGGAGGCAATGAATAAGGGAGGGGACAATGGATAGGGAGGGGGGACAATGAATGGGAGAAGGAACGATGAATAAATGAAGCACAATGATAAGGCCGGGGGTGAAGGATAATGATGGGAGGAAGGATAAAAGACGGGGCAATGAATAAGAGAAGGAAGCTCGGAGGTGCAAAGAATAAGTCGGAGAGCAAAGGATAAGAGGCCGGATGAGGGGAAGCATGGGGCAGGGATGATGAATAAGTGCGGGATAGGTGCAAGTACAAATGTCGCTATTTATCAATGGGCGCTCTTTCGGGGCGCAAGTACAAAGCTAAACATTTTTCAATGGACACTGACTTTATAAATAAACACCGTTGGGTGGCACTAACAAGCAGGTGTGCATCTATGAATAAATCAGTGGTTATGAATAAACCACTGAGGTCGACCATGTACAAGTGGGATCGGATTTATGCTTGGGATCATTCTGAGGGAGGGGGAGGGGGAGGGGCCGATGTATAATGTACATCGGAAGGTTTAGCTGCAGTGTATTGATCAGAACTTTGTGGTTATATCAAGGAATTTATGTATCAGGATGACAACTTTGCCTCCACGCGACTCGAACACTGAAGACGACAGCGGGCGCTGAGCGTGGGAACTGGATGGAGAAGGCAATGAGCTCGAAAGATGGGACTACTGCGGGTCAAAACGAAAATAAGAGAAGAGGGACGAGGGCGATGAGAGATGAGAGACGAGAGACCAGGGCCCCTAGTAGGCAAATGAGATAAATATGTGTATTATTGCCAAGAAAAAGTACAAACCTTTCATGCCTACAGAGAGCCAGTTGGATATCTCTCCAAGACAGGCAGCAGGATTAAAGAAAAAGAGTAAAACTTCCAGGAAAATAAGTAAGAATGATAAAAAAAAATTACATAAACGATGAGAGGACGCGACGGACGACTGAGACTCGTACGTGCTATGTGAAGGCAATGGCCTACATTAACAAGTAGTGTGCAATTTTGAAACGCTCGTGCGTTCCAAAGCGGGAGTCTTACGGGCGCACCAGGGTAAACCAGACCGAATCTTCGTTGGTAGTTTACGCGGGTGCTAGGAAATAAGAACTAAGGTACGAAAATGATGCGAAACGAGATGAAAAGGCGTTGCCAAGCAATAGATAAGATGGGCGTGATTAGATATGCTAGGGGGCGGTTACACCCGTTACAGATTTACGAACTCATAGCGTCAAAAGTCAAACATTGGAGTACATCGAGGTCATTACTGGGTCACTGGTTTATTCCTTTGTTGCCGAAGGACCAACTTGCTCCTCCGATCCGCGAGAGGGGGTAACAAATCTCAGCATCATCCCCCCTGTAGAAATCTCTGCACGCTCTAGAGGTGTAGAATTGTAACTTATCGCGGCGTGGAGGATCTACAATGTCAAAAAAAAGGATTGAGGGGTGATTAGACTTCAAGCGCTTCATATTGTGTTCTTGAGAGAATTCTTACCGCGGGAATATCCATATGGTGCCGGGCAATGTTGTGCGGACCACGATCACCACCCCAGTGCGCAACCATGCGAGGATTGATGTAATCGGAGTGAGCAATAAAGTCGACGTCGCCTACAACTGGTCCGGAAGATGAGAAATTTTCATCATCACGACGGCGAAACTTGCCAATGGAACTGATGAACAAGTATCATAGCAAGATGTTGAAAACAAATCTCACCTCATTCACGATCTCAGCACAATAAAGTAACTCTTCATCCACTCTGGATGTGTAACCGTCCACGCCAGATACCTTGTCCTGTAAAGTCCCAATCTTCTCCCATGCATCCAGCGGAAAATTTCCGGGGGAAGGTAGCACTGGATTGAACCTGAAGTAATTGAATTCAGCTGCAGCCGCATTTGTTTTCGTGTTTTCATGAGTCTTCTCCGCATCCGTGATCATCGCTGTCAGTGAATCATTCAAGTTGAGAATACGGCCGAGTGTGAGAAGCAGTGGGCCAGCGACTTTGAAGGTGACAGTCCCTGGGACTCCAGTCCCTAAACTAATCATGCAGCCGATAGGATGATTGGATGTCGTGAGAGATCGGGCTTCCCGTTGGATGCTGGGGGCAGGATTGTTGTGACCCAAGCCACCATCAATATACTCCACTTCGCCTAAACGAAACGGAGGAAAATACTTAGGAGCAGCAGCCGTCGCCCGAGCTGCCTGCCAAATCTTTGCCCTACGAGGGCTGGGAGTACGATCCAATAATGGAGATTGGTAGGTACGAAAAAGGATCGGTGTTGGATGGTTGACATCATGGTTTTGGACCGCAACAACAAAACTAGAGAAAAGGTCAACACCTATAAGACTTAAAGAGATAACAGAATTACGTTGGACATGACTTTGGATCATCGTCTTGCATGGGGGTTTCCGAGTCGGTCGTTTGGTCTTTGATGACTTCTTTGAGTGCGTTTTCAAGAGTTTCCGAAGAGTACCAATGGGACCTTGTGAAAAATGACGTGCGCGTCGGTTCCCTAAATATTTGCTCGGATAGCTTTCTGAATTGGATGATGCATTCGTCGACCGTCATCCGCATTCTCCCAAGCATGAGGGCAATTAGCCTGGAGAAACAACAAATTAGCAAAGCCCGTGTAGCACGAGTCACCGCCTTTCATCTTTACATACCCTCCCGCACTCGTTCCTCCTATCAAATGGAAAACTTCACAAGGTTTAAGCTCTTTACCAGAAACATCCTGCAAATGTCGCATAATTTCGCGCAAAATGAGGAGAGGGATGATTCCGCGGATACCACCACCGTCTAAACAGGAAATGAGTATCTGTCCGGCCCAGAAGTAGGCTGCAAAGTACCTATAGACAGCACGCAGAGGGGTCTCATAAATCTGGGTCTTATGGAATTGGAGCTCGTGCTCATGCTGGGTCGAGAAGGAAGGTTTAATTTTGCCTCATAACAATTGAGGAGCGTGAATATATATCGTTTAGAGGTCATTTGTTTGAAAAGGTAGTGAATTGACTTGGGAATGATAGAACCTAAGTTGTGTCGAATTCATTTGCTGCCTCAAGGCGTCTATTTCGATCAATTTTCCTTCGTTTGAACCGCATCGTATCACCTGCCAGATCGTTATCAGCTTCTCAACCGCCGCACTGCATGTCCAGCTACCGAGATAGTAGGATGGACACAAGGTTAAAATTCCGAGGCACTAGTCCTTCATACTCCTCGATGTACTGTTTTCTTGGTTTTCGAACCTCTTTTTCTGGTCGCTTACCCAGAGAAACGTCCCAAACCCTCATCATCTCGTCGGGTACTCTAGAACCACTCATACTTTCGCGCCCTTCCCATCCTCGTGCCCCTACCCTTACGCCCACACCATATCTATCACCGGGGTTGCGTTCTGTCTATTTTTAAGGCTAGCAGCACAGCACTATCTTTTTGGTTACCCCGGTCCCTGAACGTAAGCCATAACCCATCTTCACCTCAAATTCCGTCCACTTGTTGACGCAATCCGGCCAGCTGGAACCCAAATCACGGACGAGTTGTTCCTTCGCATGCAACGCCCAATTGGGAGGGGAGCCTTGGATTCACCGTAAAGGCCCCAACCTCGTTGTGATCCAAAAGTAACTACTTTTTGAAGAGGTTCAGTTACAAATACTACTACATTCTCGATCGTTCATATTTGGCATAGCTTCCTCCAAACTTCCGTCGGGAACGGTGCATCCGAAGGCAACTCGGACTGCAATGCACGAAGTCCCCAACTGCGCGAAATTCAGGGGTTTTGACGCCCGAGATTGCACCCCAAACCCCTGATATGTGCACTGGAAGCCTGCACCGAAGTGCTCTGCGGAGGATGTATGCAAAAATTTACAGCGCAGTGCGTTCCAGGTGCGTTCTCTCTATCACCTCGCTCAACGAAGGCGTAATTATTTGCCACGCATTAGCAGTTTGAATGGTATCAAGCCAATGCAAAGCCAACGTGCTTTCCTTGCGCCGACGCGTCGGGCTGTTCTGGCTGTTCTTGTCAGCACATTGCGTCCGCCTGGCTCTTCGTGACATGTTGCATGGCCTTCTCCTTCCATGCCTCATCCATGTCGTCCTTTCCCCGGAATGTGCTAGAGCCTCAAGCTCCAGGAGAAGCGCTCGTAAGTGTGCAAAATTTCGCGAACCTTCGTCCTATTCCTTGATAATCCTTCCTGTCCCTGTCTCGGTCCTGAGCGGTCTTTGGCTTGATTTTCATTTAGGCGCTCGTTGGAGCGCCCATGAAGACCGGGAGGTGCCGATGCTCACAATTGTTTTTGGCTATCGCAAAACTCAACGCACTGAGTCCCTCCATCCGGAGTCCTCTCCAATCTGAAGCCAGCATAGCTGGCTTCGCTATGCTGGCTTCGACAATATCTATCAGAGAATACCGGGTCGTGCCCATTTAGCAAGTATCAATGCAGGTTAAAGACGCCAAGCTTTACTAGTACGCTGGCACCCTGTCGTTTACTCTAGAGCTTCAAATTTGTTAAGTCAACAACGTACTACTTCATCACCATCATTGTCCACAGAGATTCCTTTTTATCTCCCCCCGTCTCTGACAATTAACGTCGATTCCGCCAGCTTCAAGTTAAACCAACACTTCTGCCCGCTCTTGAGCTGCCACTGAATGGCCGACCTCGGACCAGGACTTCCTCCCCAATTTTCGTCTCCGTCTTCGAGGTACGTCATAACTAGGGAAGGGGGTGTGTCAGCATTGGCACCGGAAAATGGGTCTCAAAAGTGAAAGTCAACGTAGAAGTCAAGGTTGAAGTTGAAGTCCAAGTTAGAGCTAGATACGTGATCAGACCTCCTCGCCAACGTGTTCCAAGGGTAACCCAGTTGAGTCAGGTCCAAACAATGCCGACGCCGGAGCTGGAGCAGCAGGAGACAAAGTCGAACTCACAGCTAAATACTCGCCGTTGATGTCTTCGGTCCCAAGGTCAAAGTTGCTTCGGCGGTATACGTATCTACCCCGGCTCTCCCAGTCCGTCTCGCGCCTCCCGTCCTCCATCGACTTCGTGATTTTCTGCCATCCCATCGTCGACGCGGAGTTCTTGGCCCAGGGTGCTGTCTTCTTCCTCTTCCTCTTCCTCACCGGTTTCTCCTTCCCCACCGGCTTCTCCTTCCCCACCGGCTTCTCCTTCTTCCTTTTCCTCACCCTCCACCATCCCATCGCCAACCCCCTCTCCCTCTCCCCCAACCCAATATCCCTCCCTCTCCCACCCCTCCACCATCATATATTCCTCTTCTTCCCGAGTCAACTTTATCTGGATCCCTCCCTGAACATTGTTCTAGTGCTGCTAGTGCTGGAGGAGAAGGCGATGCGCATAAGGCCGGTCACACACCAACATCGGGCGCCGCTTCCCACGTCTCGTTTCGTTCTTCCTCGGTGGGCGGGAGGAGGGAAGTGAGGGTTACAACTTACAGGGAAGTTGGCTTGGGAGAGTCTGGTAGAAAGCCGTGTCAGAACATTGGAGTGGGACGAGAAAGGGTAGTACGTAGAATGCTTACTCATCGTCGTGGCCGTTTAAGCTCTCATCGACGCCCATGCATGCCTTGATCGGAGGCGATACACACTTCGAAGACCTCCTCGAAGACTTCATCCTCGAAGGAGGGTTTTTCGGCAGACTCGGAGTGGTACGCCCCGCATTCGCATTCGCATAAGTCGTCTTCGGAGAAAAGGTAGCTATTGGGAAGCGCCGAGCTCGAGTCGTCTGGCAATATGGAGTCCGAGTCTCTGGGAGAAGATGGACGAGATGGACGCCTCGGAGTCGGATGGGGCGTGTGTTCTCTGTTCAGACTCCCAGGTCATGTAGAGTGAAGCACGAGATGAAGGTATAAGAGGTACAAGATCTCGATCAAGCGTCATCTTTTCGTTCTTCAAGCCACTCCTTTGCAGTGACCATGCTCTGTCTTCCATGCGCTTATGCCACAGAGCGTGTTTCGTGACCTTTTCCTCAAAGTCTGCGTACAGCCCATACAAATTTCTTACCTACTACTATTATATATACGTTACACACCACCTGAGACTATGCCTTCCCGTCCCTCAAGCTCGTTCGTCCAGCTTCTGCTCGACGCGACCTGACGCGACGCGATCAATGAGGCCACGTGAGGGCGTTCTCTCACGGCCCGGGAGCCGAGCTAATGATGGAACCAGTTCAACCAACCATCTTGTCCACGGTCCTCCGAGTCCTCTCCATCGTGCCCTACCGATCCAGGCAATCCCATAATGCACGTCCTCGGCCTCGCGCTGTCTGTCAGATGGACGAGTGCTCCCCGCTGCCCCCTCCTGCTCCAGCTTCTCTGGCATGACGCGCGCACGCACACACATATTTGAAGGACCCATACCCATTCTCTATTAGTATATCCCACCTGTGTCCTCTGACGATGCGTTCCAGACAGCCCAAATCCTAGCTCTCATCGTATATGCCAAAGCCGAGCGTTCCTCGCTCCAAACCAGTTCCTACCACACCCGGGACCGCAGCGCGCGGCGCAAGCTCGAGCGAATCGACGCTTGCATGAGCGCGCACCGTGCCCATCCGCTGTCTACCCCCGTAGCTCCTCTGCGAGGTCTTCTCCCACCTCCACCGGAACAAGTAGGACTCCTGAGCACCCGCCTGCCCTTGGCACGTTCCTGCACCACATCTTCGCCATCTCGCTTGGCTCTCGCACTATCCACGCCCGGACTCTCGAAGAGGAGGAGATTTGGAAGGTTCGTTGCGCATATTTCCTACCCAATTCGACTATGCTCATTTTCAACTAGGCTATGAAGGCGTCCATGCCCACGGGAGGTGGCGAAGACCTCATGGACGACAGCGGCAGCGAGGACGATGACGATGACGATGACGAAGATGAGGTGCCGGACTTTGGAGATGACACGACCTGGCTGTCGAAGATGACGAGGACGACGATCTGGCGGAGGATGAAGATGCTGAAGAAAAAGAGGACAGCGATGCTGACGACCTCATGTCCCTCGTCGAAGGCTCTGATAACGAGGACCTCATCTCGCTCGACGGAGACGTACCCGAGGGTCTCATCGAATACGACGGGCCCGACGACTCTGACGACGGCGATGACCCCGGTGTGCTCGTACCCGATGTTGACGTTGACCCGGAGGAGTGGCACGGTATCGGCACCCAGGCCTCGAAGAACGACAAATAGCGAAAACACGAGGAGGCGATGACCGGTGGGAAGGGCGGCAAACGCAAGAAGCTGCGCTCGCTGCCTACGTTCGCGACCTATGAGGACTATGCGAAGTTGATCGAGGAGGGACCGGAGGATGATATCTGATTTTGATAAAGTCGGTGCGACCGGCAAATGAACCCAACTTTACGACACTTTGCACCATCGATCTCGTCGAGGTCTGAACGAACCTGAAGACGCGAAAACCAGCTCTACGCTTTTACTCGTCTTTACTGGTGATACATTTATTCGTAGCATCTCTTGGCAATACGAGTCCATCGAAGAACACTGCCTGCTATAAGTACAGGCAACTATATAGTACACTTTCTATCCCTGGGCGTCAGACCCACGTCTTGGTGGCGGTTGTAACTGCGATTTGAGCCGGTGGGCGATCGCCAGGGTGCTCTACACTGATATGTTCAACTTCGTCAGCATCCGGGTCGAGGCCGGCTTTGCGGATGTGTAGCAGGACGCGACTTGTCAGTAGCGAGTGGAAAACGCGCGACATTCTAGTGGAACTTGTTAACTTCTATTGTCAACGAACAAGAGAGGGAGCGTACGAGGTTAGCATGAACCGATACGACGTGTCAACCTGCACAAGGGGTCAGAAATATTGAACCGGGAGGCTGAGAAGTCGACTTACTGCTTCTAGGCGCAGTAGGACGATGTTGACTGTGGAGAAAGCTGCAGCACATTGAACGATTGTTCCATATAGTCCCGTTTCCGGACTTACCAAAGAGATAGAAGTAGTAGATGATTCCTATAAGAACGATTCAAGTTAAACACGACGAGCGAAAGCTTCTCGGAAACGTACCTTCGCCGTATACAACTTTGTAAAGAGCCGAGTTTCCTCGGTAGCGATCTACGCGATGTTTGTCAGGTGCTTATTTAGGAAGAGCTGCAGTGCGAAATACTTACAGGCCTTTATAGCCGGGATGACCATGAGAGTCAATATTACTACAAAGATTTAGCAAGAGGGAAGACGAATGAAAACAAAGGACCACGTACTGGCGTCCCATACGAGCAAGAGGATCCAAGCGACGGTGACAATTGGATCACCTCTAACTAGTACACAACCACTCAACGGCGGCGGCAGTTGCTGGACTACAGGAAGAATTGTAAACAATGGCAAGCGGAACAAAGCGAAGGCGTACTGACATTCCGTTGTGGGGACGAATAGTCCAAGAATTATTGGAGGAGGAATCCAGCAACCCAAGAAGAGGATTGGCAGAAGGATGGTAAGCACCCGATGCCGGTCCCAGACGGCCCATGCTCGGAATGTTAAAATTACTGAGAAAAATGAGAAGGAAAGTCCTAGTAAGGACAGAGATGGAAGAATATGGAGGTGGAGAGACGCACGCTCCGATGAAGCCAATCCAAAGCACATCAGAAACCTCCCAACGGCGTTCATTACCAGGCAAGTATGAGCGTTTATATTTGGCGCGAAGTTGACTACGCAGAAAGCACAAATAAGACCTTGATCCCAAGCAAGGCGGATTCATGACTTGCCTTGGACCGCTATCCAGAGGGTGTCAATGAAAGGGAGGTATCGTTGGGTGAAGTATATGACCTTCATCCCCGTCCATGGGCTTGGCCAGATATATGTGACTTCCATCCCGATCGTAAGGAGGTAGTCCCAGAGAAACACCACAGCGGATGCCACTAGAGATACGGTTCAAAGGCGTCAGCCAAGAGGGCGTGCTGTAGGACACCTGAAGAACCCACGATCAACCATCTGTGCACGCAAGGTAATTAGACACGCAAAGAAAGCAAAGCACGAAAGACCCCACCTTCGCCCGAATTGATACCTGCATGAGAGCCACGTCAACACTATCCATGGTCGCACTCACTGTTCGCAGTCGCGGCCCAAAGGAAAGAGAAGCAGAGGACGACGGGGGCGGGATACCGGAAGACAGACAAAAGGACTCCCCATGGCGGTGATATACCCTTGCGCAGATAATCACCAATGGCACATGAAATAACACGGAAAGCCCACCCTGCACGATGCTTCTGGGAGGCAAACTCTCCTGAAGCCCGGGTTACAGTGGGATTCGGGAACACCAGAGACTTAGGGGTGGGTGCAGGTCGGTAAATGATGGTGGTCGTCGTCTCCAGACGTACCAACATACTTAAAAGACGTAGGAGCAGCCAGTGGGCTCCGCTGTACTGCTGTTCGTGTAGACAAGTTTGTTACCACTTGCACAATAATTTCACCGTTTCGACTACGTCTTCCGGTTCAGGCTGTGTCGATTTCTGTGACTGAGCCCTGTGGGAGGACCTGGAGGGGGGGTTTGGAGGTATGTGTCATTCCGGCGTCCGAGTCGAACTCCTAATAGGGTTGTCACACTCCAAGCGTTTGAGTGCAGATTAGAAGAAATTCTCTTGTGCAGATCATATGTCGCGTCTCGGGCGCTATTGCGCTCCAACAGACTCCAACTATAGCTTGAGTCGAAGATCACCAGAGTTGGACAAATGCACTGCTGTTCGAGTAAAGGCCCAGGGGGGGCAGGTCAGTGAACCCTTCTGATTATAATTTCCTGGGTCGAGGACTTCAATTCGCCGTGATCATCCACATCCACAGAGTCCGGAAAGGAGGCGAATCGCTTCTTGGAGCCTAACACGCAACAAGAGACTTACGAGAGGCTTCGACTTCTTCAAAGTTCAGACGCCGTCACTGGTCGGCATGAGGCGCCCACGTGGAACGATGCTGAGGAAGATTTCAACGGCGACGCCGCCTCTCCCTGCTTCTTCAGAGTCTTCGGATTTGCTCCATCGGGTCCTCCCAAAGTGTCAGGCCTTCAGGATCCACAATACGGTCAAGGTGCTGGTACTTGTCAAGCCAGCAGTGTGGGGCAAGAGTGAGAAGCATCTACATACAGAACTTGATGAAGACTCTGAGAAATGCGCGCGATGGAGGAACAACGGAGGAAGCAGAAATTCTCCAAGGTGACAAAGGAAAGAGTTTCGAAGGAGACACCGGCGTAAGGTAGAACCAATGAGAAAAGGTATGATTTTTTCCCTCCGTTTTGTCGTTAGAGACGGAGTCACGGAGAGAAACTGAAGCACGAATCGAAGGAGGTGGAGGTAGAGACAGAAGAACCTGTTTGTTCCGATATTTCACACGCTCGGTTTCGGCAATCCCCGCCACTCATATTGACTCCGAGGACCGACCGACCGTACAACAAGGGTGAACGACCCTTATCCTTCCTTGTTCATAGAGCCTATTAGATATGACACACCATAGCATAGATCAACGAAGACAGCCCCCAGGAGGTAAATCAAAGGAATTGAAGGAGGCCCTCTTCACATGATGCCGGGCGCTTAATATCAATTGAGGGATTGCTGATAACGGGCAAGGTACATTACTTCGTTTGGAAATACGATATGTGTATAAATCGTTGGATTTCTCACTTAATGGTATCAAGTCCACGTCTTTGTAGTTTTAGTGATGGTGATTTGAGGTGGTTGTCTGTAGCCTGGATGGTCTCCGCTGATAATTTCTTGATGTGGTTCGTGGTCAAGACCGGCCTTCCGGATGTGTAGCAGAGCACGGCTCGTGAGAAGCGAGTGGAAGCAGCGAGACATCCTACTGAGATCAGAAAACGAGACATTGAGGAGGAACAAATATGGCGTACGAGGTCAGCATGAATCGGTAGGATTCATCAATCTGTTCTCCACAGTTAGCGCTTGAGAAATACCTAAGACGGAAACTGACACTTACGTCGAGGCAAAGCAACACAATATTGATCGTCGAAAGCACTGGATAACGGGCAGCGTTATACTTTTTTCACCTTCATATGCAAGTAACTCGCCGAAGAGGTAGAAGTAGTACACGATCCCTACGTGACGAAACGAGTCAACGGAAGTAGAGACCTAAGAAATTCGAGGACTAACCTTCTCCATACACTACTCTATACAGTGCCGAATTCCCTCTGTATCTGTCTACAAAAGGTCTCCGTGAGCAAAGGCCAATAGTAGCTAAAGAAGCGAAGACGTACAAGCCGGAATTACCATGAGGATCAAGATGATTTTGAATGCGTGTCAGATTGCATAGTTGCCCCCTCGCCGCTTAGTAAATGAAGGACATACGAGCATCCCACACGAGAAGAAGTATCCAATTGATGGTTATAATTGGGTCGCCTCCAATTTGAACGCAACCCGTAGACGGGGGTGGAAGGCCGATAACTAAAAGTTCTTGTAAAAGCAAAGGAATATCAATAACGGCGTAGCGCGCACTCACATTTCGTTGTACCAATGAATATACCGAAAATCACGGCGGGTGGGAGGAAGCATCCGACGAAGAGAATGGGAAGGGCAAATGTCAGCACCCTGTCCCGGTTCCAGACAGCCCAAGCTCGAAAGGTTAAAACCACTGAGAAAGGAAGTATTTTAGCGCTGGGTCAGCCCGATTCAACGGCGAAGCCACGACAATCGACGCACACTCCGACAAAGTCAACCCTAAGCACATAAGAGACCTCCCTACTCCATTCAGCGTGGTGCACGTCTTCGCGTCCATGTTGGGAGCGAAATTTACTGCAAAATCCGCATTTTTAGAGCCCAGTACATTAGCCGATACATAAAAGATGGCGCACCTTGAACAGCTATCCACACGGTGTCGATAAAAGGGAGATATCGCTGAAGGAAGTAGAGCACCTTCATGCCGGTCAATGGTCCTGGCCAGATGTATTTGACCTCCATTCCAATGGTGAGCAAATAGTCGTAGAAGAACACCACCGCAGATGCTACTATAACGCACAATCAATATAGAAGAAAGTTGGAACGCATGGGACTCACAATCGATTTTCTGTGTAGGGCAAAAGGTAGACAACGTTAGCATGAGCGCGAAAGGTTGAATCGCGAGTAGCACCTTGGTTACGGCAGATATTCTCATCCCTTCGACGAGGAACACGGCAAAATCAGCGTTGTCCATGGTTGCTTCAAGCGGAGAGGAGGGGACGAACGGACGAAGGTTCCCTAGCACCGGAAGCGCTCCTTACATCCTTTATATTGCAAGCAAATTGATCACTCGAGGAAGTGCCTCGAAGTGCCCAGCGATTCAGGGTAATTAATGGAGAATGTTAGGGGGGAGGAGTAGACACCCGTATGATCGGCGCCTCGCACGGGGGGTCCACTTACTTGCCAATCCTTCCCCTTTTATTTGAGGGTGTTATATCTAGGTCAGGTGAGTCAGTGATCTTCGACAGCGGAAAGAGACAAAGTACAGGGTTGGCTCGTGGTCCCCTGATAATATCAATCCTCTCTGAGTGGTTGGAGATAAAAATCTATTTGAAGGCAGAGATCGCAGATCTCCAAGGATGGTCATTAGAACTGTGGCGCGAATGATTGCCAGGATTGCAAGTCGCGTTTATTCAACGGGAGATTTCTCAACTTCGACGGCGTCGTGTTGGATTATTTTTCTAGTTCCTGAATACAAAATTGGCAAGCTTCATTCTTGGCTCGCCTGTTGAGTCCTTTGCATTCCATCACAGGTGGATCACAGTCTCTTCCGATTCGCCCAAGTCAGGCACTTCGAATTAAAGCTTTCATCTCCTATACACGCCGCAAACGAATCCACTGCAGTCATTACAACCGGAGTCTATCGGAGTGTGTCCGGCCCGTGTGTCCGTCGGCGGCCTGAACGAGGTAAGCAAGAGGTAAATTCCAGGAGGATCGAAAGAACGACCAGATTCCCTCATCGATGAGCTGAGTATGTCGGGAAATAGAAGGAAATACAGACCTCCTGAAAGCTTGTCTACGAGGATACAAACAACATCGATTGCATTATCCTAACGTGCTTAGTGATGAAATCTTCTCTCGAACACTCTGAGCGCTTCGAAGTCCACAAATAGACTGACTACAAATGCTGAATGCTTTCCTACAAGACGTTGGTACTTGAAGGAGCTTGAAGGCTGAAATTGTGACAGGGTGAATGAGTCGGAAGCTGCGAATCGGGACATCACTCTGAATGGTGCCCCGTAATCCCATGTCCACGCTAACGATCCAACAGGCGCCTGCTCACCCCGACCCGCTTCCGACTCAATTTCGACCACACTAGTAATGGGCCGTACTTGCACGCCGAAAGGCGCTGAACAAGAATTTAGAAGTCGCATTACCTCCAGTCAGCAGGGTCCTGCGGATGACGGTTGATGCAAATTCAGACGTTTCCGCCAAATGAGGACCTCAACAATATGGAAAGTAGGTACTTTGATTCTTAAACGTACTTCTTTCAGGAAATCTCGGGGATGCAGTGTCTTCTACATACGTAGGACTTTATCCTTCAGGATTGTGACTTGTCACAAAAGTCACGGAGTATCGTCAGGCTGGCTGCGGGAGACTAAGTGTCTTCGAAGAGCCAAAGAGTCCTCGCCCAAGCTAAGATCAGCCAAAATCCTGACAGATCCTGACCAACCATCTGATAAGATGACGAGGACAAGCGCGCGCGGCACCGAAATTCACCGTCAAATATGGACGACAAGCGCTTGGCAAACCCCATATGCGAGCGTGGAGCAGGCGGTCTCTGCTTCGTTCATTTCTCGCCTCTCGCCATCATCATATGGTGCGTATAGACCGACGCATGGTTCTTTACCCCAATGCGCTTACTTATACTCAAAAGCCACGATGAGTTGCGAACTCCCCTGTGGTCGACGAGATGAACCTCATACGCCTGCTTCCATGGGTTTTTGGGAATGCAATCTTAGGTGAGTAGTGCACCGGTGTTTCTTCATCCACTCCATTTTCTAACCGTGGTCGCATTCTTCTCTCTCAGTTTTCGCTACCGACGGTGAAATCACTGCGCCAGCAACTTTGCTCTGCCCCGGAGCCCCTTCCCCTCGATTCCCGCTTTTTGCCGCTGAGGGATGGCAAGCCACCACTGTGCTGGGAAATCTCAGCACACCCCGAGGAATTTTACTCGACACGCGTGGTAATCTTGTCATCCTGGAAAGGGGAATTGGAGTCACGGCATATGAAGTGGACAAGAAGGGATGCGTGGTGCAAGGATCCGGGAAGGTCGTTGTGGAAGACCGCAGGCTGAACCATGCCGTTGAGCTGAGTCCTGATGGGAAGACAATTTTTGCAAGGTAAGTTTCCTGGCCCTCTTCGCATTTTATAATGTCACCCGAGTCTATGCCTTCCAGCAACATTGACACGGCTTGGTCTTGGGACTACGACCCCGCTACGAGGACAGTTACCAATCAAAAAACTCTAATCACCGGGTAGGCCTCACTTTCTACTCCGTAAGCCCCTCCTTTTCCTTACCTCTATGACGGTTCGACAGAATGTCTACCGTCGGGCATTGGACCCGTACTCTCTTCTTTTCAAGGAAGAATCCCCATCTACTCTTGGTCAGCGTAGGGTCCGACTCTAATATTGACGTACCATCGTTCGATCCTGCCAGCGGGCGCTCGCAAATTCGAGTGTTCGACTTGAAGACGATTGGTGAAGGAGGGGTCGATTACAAGTGAGTAGATAGAACGACTTCTTGCCTAAGTGCTGGCCTGACGACTTTCTCTTCACAGCACTAATGGACAAGTCCTCGGGTATGTTCCAGCTGACGAGCATGAAAAGCGATTCTGAACTTCGTCTTTAGGTACGGCCTACGAAACGATGTCGGCATTGCAGAGGACAAGGCCGGGATTGTTCACAGCATCGGTGTGTCTTCAAGCTTTAGCCTTGATTCGTTTATCCACTAAAACCTCTCCAGAAAACTCCATGGACAACGCCTTTCGCGCCGTCGACGGCATCAGGACGGATGTGCATAACGACAACCCAGCAGAGAAAGTTTACAGGCGTGCGTGTTTTTCTTTCATAGGCACCGTCTCACCAATAACCGACGCGTCGAACGAGAAGTGGGCGACCCGGCCAACCCGACGCAGTTCTTCGGCGGATATCCGTACTGTTATACCGTTTGGGAGCCTCGCGATTTTGTAGACACGGACTTTAGTGTCGGCGACTGGTATGTTTTCGACTCGTCAACCTTTCCTTAGGTTGACTCATCCATACGTCCATTTCCAGGTTCGTTCAGGAGCCCAACGCGACGACTGGCATCACCGACTCATGGTGCAACGAGAAAGCGAGCAAGCCGACCGTCATCCTGCCTCCTTACACCGCGCCGCTCGATATGAAGTTCGGCGTGAAGAACGATACTTCGCTCTACGTCCCGTTGCATGGCAGTTGGAACAGAGACATTCCCCAGGTGACTTAAGCATCATTCGTTGGCTCGTAATTTGTGTCTGACAGACGCCTAGGGATACAAAGTCGTCATAGTGCCTGGCCAGCACTCCACTGAAGGCGAATGGTCGCCGACGGTTGGTCTCGCTGAGACGAAGGAGATTGCGCAAGACCTTCTATGGAACACGGATGCGGGAGCTTGCCGCCAAGGTTAGCGATCCTCTCTCCTCCCAACCTCGACTGACATACCTTCCACAGGCTGTTTCCGTCCTGTCGCTCTTGCTTGGCATCCATCGGGAAGAAACCTCTACGTCACGAGCGACACGACAGGCGAAGTCTTCCTCTTGAAGAGAAGTTTGAAGTTCAAGCCGGGAAAAGCATACTAGACACTAGGGGTTTAGAAACGAAGAGGGCATTGAGAATCAGTTTTAGCTGACCTCCGAAAAGTGGCGTTGGAGGCAATCCATAAAATGATAAACGTTGTCTCTCCATATACAAGAGACGGCGGGGGAAAAATCCAAAACCTGAGATGGATCCGAACGTTGTCCCAACGCCGTGCAACAAAATCCTGTATTGAGAGAAGGGACGTCAGACAGAAAGATGTGAAGAAAAGAGAAGACCAAACGATGCGAAAGGTTGAAGAGGTTTAAGCCCACCAGGCGGGCGAGTTGGAGTAAACACTGACCCCGAAAAGGGATCTTCGAGTTCTCCTCTCTGCAACAAGCAGTGCTGCATATCCTGAGAGGCCCGAGAGTGTGATATCCGACCCAAGGCCCCGGAATCATGACTGTCGAAGCTCGTCCTCGACCCATCGCATCGACCGTCATCATCACCTATCGACGGACGGGAGATCAA